CTTCCTCTGTCCCTCAACCTGTCCTATGAGTAACAGATTTTCCAAGCCCTCCTTCCTCATTATGCGGCCCAGAGCGAATTTTGCTTGTTTACGATCACGCTACGCCTGTCACCCAATGTAGACATATTTGTGTGTGTATGTATCTACATTCGAGCTGTGCGTATGTGTGTGCATTTAATGCAATTTTATAAAACTAAGCTTTCTTTTTGTTCATTTAATTCTCTAACCCTAGAGGCAAGTCTCGTGTTAGATAACCAAGCAAGTTCAATTGGCGGAATGACCGAACTTTGAGCCGCTCGAGCCATGCTGTATGCGTCATATGTGTAGGCAAGCAATGAGTCAGTGTGCCTGTTCGTGCACAAACCTGACTGTGACTCCTAACAGGACTTATCGCAGAGGTGTGGGTGAGATGCTGGTCTCCAGCGTTGTGGGAGGATAGGGAATGAGCAATCCTTTGCAGTGGTAACAAAACAAGTAGTGTTTTACTACTCTCCCGGCCCACACCTGCTCGCAATCAAAGACTATTCCACTTTTCATTGACCTTCTTTTATTTTTCATTTTTTTATGTCCTTTATGTTATCGCCAAGGAAGTGTGAAATGGTTAATAACTTGAAAGATATAATCGGTGAACCGATTTCGAATTCTAGTTTAGACTGCTTATATTACTTTCGCTCGAGTACACTGTCACACTATCAGTCATGGTTTTTGACATTAAATCAGCAGAAGAGAGAACGGTTACATAGTTAATCCCTTGCCAGCTCAACCAGCAATATTACAACTACTACTATTTTGGGGGTACAAATGCTACTACTATACACTTATTTGAAGACTTTTATAATTTTCTTCATTTGATTGTTTCAATTCATTAGTTTAAGTCATTGATAAATCGTATGTTAAATTTCATCCCACTTTTGAAATGCTGGTATATATGCATGATACATCTTTCTTAATACTGCTTTTTAATAATCGTGAAACAGAAAAACATTCGTTAGAAACAAAGAAAAGGGTACTGAACTGTCATGCAATATTAATCATCGTATACGGCAGTGAATGCTGGACAATCACCTCACAGATGAAGAAGGCACTAGAAACAACAGAAGTGTGGTTCTACAGAAGAATGCTGAGAATACCATGAGAAACGAGTAAATTTTAAAGAAAACAGAAACAAAAAAGACACTTATACTTAATTAACATCAGGAAGAAACAGTTGAAATTTATGAGGTGCATATTGAGGAAAGAACATTCGGAAAATTTGATACTCACAGGACAGATTAAAGGCAAGAAAGAGGGACGGGGGAAAACAACACATAACCTACCTAGCGAGTTTAAGTAAATGGATGGCGAGGCAAATTTAGGAGAGACTACAAAAATACAAAATTTATTGAAAGCTACAAAATTGTGGAGAACCATGATCGACAACATCCTGAATGGACACGACACAAAGAAGAAGTGACTATATCTAGGAGAAATATGTATGTGTTTTAGACATCTCTGCTGAGTATAGGGTCAACGACTCACCAAGCTGCTGTGGATTATGTTGCAAATAAGTTTACCCTACACCCGATTTTGAATTCAGAGTTGTCCTTCTACTTATCTATGATTACAGAAGTTTATATTCTGCCCGCCCTTTAGTAGATAGATAGATAGATAGATAGATAGATAGATAGATAGATAGATAGAAAAATTAAATGATGAATTGAAATAGTTCATATGTTTAATTAAATCTACACAAATTAGACTTCATAAAACGTTACATTAATCAAAGTTATATATTTCCAATAAATTCGTTCTTAGTTTTAAGATTCGCTTTCCAAAACGTCTACAATTTTGTACATCCAAATTTCATGTTTTGCTCTGGTTTTGTTCAAGTACTTTTGACCCTTTTAGTCATTGTACCGAACTTGGTGTTGTTTGTTTCGTAGAGATTTTGTTGGCTACATCTTAGCAATTTCTGAAACATTAGAATTCAAATTAATTCAAATATAAAATTTTGGTCTATGTAAATGATTTCCCAGAGCGAGGCCGCACTGAAAAAGAATGCATCGAATATTTTTATGTAATTATCGTTACTTTATGCACATATTAAACACCTTATGCATACTTTAAAATACCGTCTTTGGTGGTGAAAAATATTTTATTTAAAGCGGCTTGTTATTTTTAATAATAATAACTTCTAGTATTTTGAGTCTTTCATTACAGTGAGTGCTATGTATTGTTTTCGTATTATCCACTGATAATGACTGAGATGGTTGAAAGTATTTGAAGAAAAAAAGAACAAAACATGAACTTCGGACATATTATCGAGAATTTTAATTTGCATATAGAATATTAAAAATTGGAAAAAAAATTAAACACACGGGCCTTGTCGGTTGAATTTTAAAAAAAGTTTTTTAAAAGTAATACTTACTAAGTAGTAACGGATTGGTTAGGGAAATAGGGAAATTTCTATTGTATTCATAATAGCAATTTTCCTATTTCAAATTTTCCAATGCTTTTTTCCTATGTTCATTCATACATATATATATATATATATATATATATATAGTGTTAGTTTGACAGACTGTTTTAAAAGCCAAAATTTCTGTTTTTCTAGTGGTTTTCTAATACAAAGCCATTTAAGGCAAGCAGGCTTTGTGGTAGAATGCTCAATATTGTAGATAGAGCGTTAATACTTAAAAACTTTTTCATATAAATTGTATATATACATACATACATATGTGTGCGTGTGTGTGCGTGTGTATGCGTGTAAGATTCAATATGGTTTCCGCATTCGGATCCTCCTACTTTTAAAAAGTCAAGGGAATGATGACGATGATGATGATGATGTGTGTGTGTGTGTGTATGTGTGTGTGTGTGTGTGTGTGTGTGTGTGTGTGTGTGTAGGGAGAGGAAAGTGCTGTGCACCAGAGGGATAGTTTTTTAAAAGTATAATTATACATTAAAATTTTATTTACTAGTTATTTAATTATTATGTTCTGTTCGAAATTTCCCCTCCTTCTTTTTCAAAACACATTTCAATTCTGTGCCTGTATGATTCGTTAACATGTCGGAGAGTTTCCTCTTTCATTTTACTGCATTCATATTTTTATTTTTTCTTTAAGTTCACCAATATTTCTTGGGTGCATCTGATAAACAACTGATTTCAAATGGCCTCACAGAAAAACAAAAACAAAGATCTGGAGTCTGATGACCAATTGTTTCTGCAAAATAAGAAAATATCAAAACAAATTACACATTTAAAACATGATTAATTAATCAACCCCTATGGTTTTTATCTCACCCTGCATTTATATATATATATATATATATATATATATATATATATAGTTAAATTCTCAGATCAATACTATGGACAAGACAGATTGGTATAAAATGACAGAACCGTCTATCTTTTTAAATTTGAATTTTTTAATGTAACTATAACAAAAACATTTCGATTTCATTTTTGCCTTGAAAAAGTCGGAAAACGAAACGCGTCGGCAAAATCTAAGATTTTTTTCCAATTGTCATTTTATACCATATATATAACGTTAAGTGTTAAAATTTGAATTAGAGAACGCTCTAAAATAATCTAAAATCTTACTGCGTAAAGGCAAAAGGGTAACTATAGAGGACAATAAGGGGTGTAAGATTTTGGCATATTGAACGAAAATTAATTGATACTGTTGTTGCTATTGAATTTTCTATGTAATTATTATTAAAACTGTTATGGTCGCGCACACACACACACACACACACATATATATATATATATATATATATATATATATATATATATATATAATTAAATATTATTGTCACATCTGGTCTGCTACATCTGCTATGTATTTAGAAAGAATCTGTAATGTTATAGTTCCTGACATGGCATCTCGTTTTCAGTCCCTTTCCTAACGCCGTAATAGAGCTTCCGTGCCTTTTCTATCAATATTATCATGGCTTGTTCTGATGAGCTTTCCTCTTTAGTCCCTCAACTTGATAAAGGTCTCATCATTTTGCAGTTGAAATGGTTTCATGTAGCCGTAAGTTCTATGCTGACAGTTTCTCCTATAGCACTTCTCACTTGTGGAACTCCCTTCCAGTTTCTTGCTTCTTAATCAATTTTGATTATCAAAAATTTAAATTCAGTATCAATCGTTATCTTCTGTCTTAATTACTGTCCTTTCATTGTTCTCTTTCTTTAAATTCTTTTTATCACATTCTCTCAAATTCATTAATCCTTTAGTGGATTTATTGCATTGCTTGAGGTGAAATTATATATATATATATATATATATATATATATATATATATATATATATATGCACATACACACACATATATATATATATATATATATATATATATATATATTGAAGTTTTTTGGCTCTTGTTTTGAAACATGAGAACTCTTATGTCACGAGTTGGAATCATATTTTTTAAATAAAATTAATATATATATATATATATATATATATATATATATATATATATATATCCGTGTGTGTGTTTTCAATGCGGTATCATTTTTATTTAATTGTGAGTGCGATTACTAAAAATAATGATGCAGCTAGCTCAGATTTAATACAGCCATATTAGGTGCTTTTTATGGGTCTGTTGAAAATTTCTCGGCCCGACCCCCTTCTAATGACTATCCATCATTTTTAAGAGCTTCTTTCGGCACTCACTCATAGATAGATAGATAGATAGATAGATAGATAGATAGATATGATTAAATGATGATGTATTCTCAGCCGTGCCCACGTGTCTTTTTGAATAGTCTGTGTTTTTAATTCCGTAAAATGATAGTTTTCTCCTCTGACCAGTACAACAAATGCATCTCGCTAAACAAACAATTATGAACAAAGCCTCGATTGTTATATCTTTTTCACTTTCACCCCGTTTCGAGTTTTTTAAACAAATTCTTTTATATTTGCTTGTCTTTTTATTCTTTTTGTTGTTCTTGAAGTAATTATTTTCATGTATTGTTAATATTGCCTAAACTTAACCTTGTGCAACATAAGATGTATCTTCATATACACATTAGTATTTTATACATTATACACATGTACACATATACACATTAGTATTTTCTCAATTCGCCATTCACCTTTCTTCTTAATTTTCTTTTATATTTATTCATATTTTCCCTTTATATTTTAGTCCCTCTTTTTTGCATTGTTCCTACTTTAAAACATATTTCGTTTCTTTTTCTTTTCTTTTTTCTTTTCTTTTTTCTTTTTCTTTTTCTTTTCTTTTTCTTTCTTTTTCGTTCTTTTCTTTACTTTTTCTTTCTTTTCTTTTTCTTTCTTCTCCTTTCCTATTCTTTTTCTTTCCTTTCTTTTTCTTTCTTTCATTTTCTTTTTCTTTCTTTTTCATTCTTTTCTTTTTACTTTTCTTTCTTTTTCTTTTCTTTTTCTTTCTTTTCTTTTCTTTTTCTTTCTTTTTCATTCTTTTCTTTTTACTTTTCTTTCTTTTTCTTTTCTTCTTTTTCTTTTTTCTTTTTCTTTTCTTCTTTTTCTTTTTTTCTTTTTCTTTCTTTTCTTTTCTTTTTCTTTCTTTTTTATTCTTTTCTTTTTACTTTTTCTTTCTTTTTCTTTTCTTTTTTCTTTTCTTTTCTTTTCTTTCTTTCTTTCTTTCTTTCTTTCTTTCTTTTTCTTTTCTTTTCCTTTCTTTTCTTTTTTCGCATTGCCCTTATTGGTACATATTTACTAACTTTAATTTAGTATGACACCAGATCAGATAGAAAAGAAATGAAGATTATACTACGCCAATCTTGAGAAGTTGAGAAGGCCTGCCTGTCTTGAAAACCTACATTCGAAATCCAAGAAAAAGAGAACATAACTATTTCAGTCACGAGGCAAGTTATATTATATTGCTTATTATTCCTTTTTTTTACTTTGAACTTACGGCCATATCATGTTATAACACCGGTTCTCGTTCGATCACTGAAGTTGAGCCTGATCAGTACCTAGATCGATGACAGCTTTTGGGTCTACTAGTTGCTGTAAGCTTGGATGCACGGGTGATGCAATGGATAAGGATTCAGAATTATTAATCGGAGAACCGAATTCCAATTTCACTTGGATTCGTTATATTCACTTAGGCGCAAATAACCTTGGGAAAAGTACGAATCCACTTCTTCTCCCCTCACCAAATGTGGATTAAATATTTTTATCTGTAAATCATTATTATCACCAAAAAGTTCTTACAATCCAAAAATATTTTCAGGCTTTAAATAACCTGAGAAAGGTTGATAAGCCGTAACTTCGTCAATTTAGTCATATTTTTCTCGTTCTTTCTCTCGGCTTTTATTTTTTTTCTCTTTCATTCCTTTTCTTTTTTCATTTAATTTATATATTCTATTGCACTCATTTTTCCTTTTATTTTTCCCTTACTTTTTATTTTTCTCGGGAAATCTTTTGTTCTAAATTTGAAAAAAAAGGCATTCTTAATTTATTTCTTTATTTCTTTTCTATTCTTTTCATTTTTTTTTTTTTTCTGTATGTTTTATTTTTCTTTTCTTTTGTTTGCTTGTCTTTCTCCTGGGCTACCTCAAATCGAGCGCCCCCAAGTCAGCATTTCTCTTACAATTTAACTTAAAAAATAAATATGTGCTCTTCATTTAGGATTCATTTTAAAATTAGGTCAGGAGTCCAGTTGAAATCTATCAATACAAAAATCAATAATCACGAAGAGACTGGTGTAGAAATTGCCTACTCTTCACATCACTAGATAGTGAGTTAAACGACCGATTGGGATTTGTCTAACGTTCTTAAGACTCTAATAAATTCACATATTAATTTTTCTAGAAACATTACTAAAAATCAGCAAAGAAGAGACAGTGGGCATGAACAAATACAAATTATATTCGTATATAGGACATAAATGTTTGTTACATTTTTTTTTTCTTTTAATATTTTCTGCTAAATGCAGAAAGAAGAAAAGGTCTAACTGATTAGGGAAGAAATTACGTTTAATTCTACGTTCGGATAAATATCAAAAGAAAAATAATCCGCGCTCGCCTTCGGATCTAAGAACCATTTTTTTTTTAACAGTAATTTATTTTCTTTACGGAATGTCAACCGTCGGATTTTGCACAAAAATAAGGGAAAAAAGTATCATTAAAACAAAATCTCCATTGAATTTTAATTCATATCGCAAATCTACTCATTTAAACGAGAAAAAAAAATGGTTGCTCACTTGGATAGTAATCTCGAGGCGAGCAAAAACTACAAAGACAGTATTTCAAATAAGACACCAACGCAAGGAAATTAAATGATTATTTAGATTCCAACCATTTTTACGATTATGAATGGAGAGTGGTTAAGGAGTTAATCTTGCAGGAAATTAACAATATTCCATGACGTGTTTATTGATATGAGTCAAAATAAAATAGTAATTCGTTAAAAAAAAAAACGTTAAAATTAGCAGGCATATGCCTGTCCATTTGCTTAACATCAGAACACAATTTATGTTCTGTGTTTTGCATTACTATAATAAGTAAGGAAACCAATTTCTTCTCTCAAAGATTTGCTTTTTTCCTTCAAAGACTTGTCAAGTGACTGTAAAAAAAAAACTCACGTTGAAACACCGGTTACCGTACGATCACCGCAGTTAAGCAACGTCGAGCCTTGACAGTACCTAGATGGATCACCGCTTGGGAAAACCAGGTGCTGTAAAGTTGGATGTGCAGGTGGCGTAATGGATAATGGCTCGGAATTCTTAATCGGAAATCCGAGTTCAAATCCCAGTTGCGTTCGTTATATTCACTTACGCGCAAATACTCTTCGGAAAGGTACGAATCCACCTCTTCTCCCCCATCTATGGGTTAATTAGTAAGATTTGTATCAATAAATCATTGTTATCTAAAAAAAATTTATTACAATCTAAAAATACTTTTTGGCTTTAAATAACGTGCAAAGGGTTGATAAGGCGTAAAAATTAATCAATGTGAAAAAGAATGTAAAAAAAACAAATTCAAGAAACAATCTGTCGAAGGAAATGATGTCTTCTTGGCTTTCGGGTAACACTTCAACGTTATACAGTAAGAAATCGTTAATTTATTCATTACAACTTCTGTAATTACTTTTTAAGTGATGCATCAGTCGATCGGTGTTAAATCTTCCATGTATTGGGTTGGAAACAAAGTTTCTGTACATAGTAGAATATCGTTGTCAATAAAAGTTTTGCGGGAACTTTGTTTAGAACTCAATAAATGGGAGTAACTTCTATTATGATTCCTTATGCACTGTCATTGCTTTGTTCTTGTATATGTTATTCATTACTAGCAGTAGAGGCCGGCGTTGCCCGGGGATGTAACAGTAAGAGATAGATCAAGTATCAACCATCATGAAGACTGAAAAATAAAATTGACAAAGATTATTGTGTAAGCTTGACGGACACGCATGTCTTAATTGTTTTTTTTTTTTTGTTTTTGTTTTTGTTTTTGTTTTTTACGAATTGGTCAAACCCAAACTCAAACAAAAACATTGTTTTCAATCGTTATGAGTCTACCTATTGAATAGAATTTTATTATAAACAATTGTCTTGTAAATGGAATTTTTAAATCATTCTGAATGTAAAAATAAAGAAAAAAGGTGTGCAAGACAATAAGAAACACTGCCTGCCAAAAAAAGTGAAGTTTTGTTGAAATCGGTTGAAAAATCTAGGAAATCCGATCCCATATATAAACGAACACACACACACACAAACAACCTGGGCTTTATAATAAGTATGACTCGATATAAGTTTTCCCCCTTTCATTCTGGCGACTTAATCGTGTTTTATCGTGTTTTCAAATTGATTTCATGCAAAAACAATTGTGTTTTTCCCATTTTTGGCGCTGTCAGAACCACCGCAAGATAATTTTATGCAGTCCTGTGAAGTTTTGTTGAAATCGGTTGAAAAATGTAGGAAATCCGATCTAATATATAAACGTACAGACACACATACACACACACAATCTGCGTTTTATAATAAGCAAGATTTTCAAAAGTTTCAAATAAATACATTCTATCTCTACTGTGAGCACTTCGACAGGTTATAAGAGTTAACAAAATTAATTGCATGTGTACACAAGTAAAAGGAAAGGAAAAACATTGAAACTAGCTATGAGGATATGCTTGTTTGTGCGTGTGTATGTGTGTGTGTTAATCTCGCGTGTGTGTGAAACTCACGTGTGTGTGTGCGTGTGTGAGAGAGTTCAAAAGTCAGCAGAGGACCAAGGAAGCGAATGCGCCCCGTCGTCAGCGTTATCTATCTACAGTCGACTACATTTGAAAGCAGAAAAAAAGAGCAAGAGAGAAAATATGCTTACATTTTTATAGACTCAAAGAGCTACTCTTAACGGTGTGAAGTGGGGTAACCCACTTACTAAAGATCTCATGTACAGGTTACGAGAGTCTTGCAGTTGGCTAAAATAACGAGCATTGAGTTCATGGTCATAAAGTACCAACTTAGATGGGCTGACCACCTTGTCCGCTTCGAGGACGCTCGTATGCCGAAACAGGTGCTGTATGGTGAGCTCGTGCAAGGCAAGCGTTCTCAATACAAGCCATGAAAACGCTTCAACGATAACATTAATGACACAATGAAAAAGCTCAACGTAGATACTAACACTCGAGAACATTTTGCATCAGACAGGGAGTCGTGGAGAAATCAGAATTGGTGTTAGTATTGATGAATTTGAAAACCTCAAAGTTACTTACGCTGAGTTGAAACGAACTGTGGTTGTGTCTTATTCTCGAGAAAAGTCCCCCTCAGCTACAAACATGGACAAAGAAACACCTCCATCTACCAATATGATACCCAGCAAGACTTTTCGTGCAGCATTTGTATGTAGACCAGCCAAGACACTCACTCGGCACAAAAAATAAAAAAATAAAAATGAAGATAGACTGGTGTTGAAAGACTAGCCTGTACTCAATATGGAATGACTGTGTGTGTGTGTGTGTGTGTGTGTGTGTGTGTGTGTGTGTGTGTGTGTGTGTGTGTACACTATCAGGTGTAGGCTTTTCCATAAAATCAGACATTGCTAAATCCCTGTCATCTCTTGATCGCATTATGACTCTAGTATTAGAACTCGACAACAATTCTTCTGCCACACTTGTGAACTGTTATGTCCCAACCATGAACACCCCTGTGTCGAAAATTGATGACTTTTATGATCAACTACGTACAGTTATTTCCAAAGTTCCACATAGAGACAAACTTGATATTATGGGAGACTTTAATTCACGGGTTGGTGCTGACCATAAGACATGGCCTTGTGTCCTTGGCACTCACAGGATCAGGAGTATGAATTCTAATGGGCTACGACTACTTTCTCTCTGCCAAGAATTCGATCTCACCATAACCAACACACGTTATCAACAGCCCAATCATCACAAAACGACTTTTTGGCATATGATTGATTACATTATCGCTAAGAAACGTGACGCGAAAAACTTCAATATCACCCGCTCTTTCCACAACACTTGCTATCTTTCAGACCATGCTCTTCTACGCAGCAAAGCATCCTTTCGACTCGTACGCAAGAAATCACTTGTTAGCACTACTGTTCCTAAAAGAATCAACATCTCACTCGTGAATTCTAAAAAACTTTCTAACACACTGGACTCGAAGCTGGATTCAGTTATCTCAGAAGACATATAATCCTCCTGGAAATCTCTCAGAGATGCCATTTATTCCAGCTCCTTTGAAGTTCTAGAACTTCCCATAAGGAAGTATCAAAACTGGTACGATGTAAATGATGTTCAACCTCTCATCAAGCACGATTCACACAAAGTATTCTTAAACAACAAAAATTGACCATCAATACAGCGTAAGCGGGAAATGCAAAATGTTCTCAGAAAAATGAAAGAATCCTGGTGGTCTGCTAAGGCTGTTGAAATCCAGGCCCCAGATGACAGAAAAGATCCCAAAGCATTCTATGAAGGCCTTAAAAAGTTGTACAGCCCACACAACCAGTCTATATGACGGTCAACCCTTCAGTATGCCCTTTGTGTGGAGTGCGGGATTTCATACGAAACATAAACATAAAAACTAAACTGAAAGACACTCATACGTTGAAAACGATGGGAGAGTCCGTTATTATATATATATATATATATATATATATATATATATATATATATATATATATCACACATGCTGGTGTTAATAGAATACTGTTCGATGTAGAATAACAGCGCTATAATGTATGAACTAATAATAAATATACATTTTTTCCTCAACGGTAGCAAAACGCAATCTTCAGGTGCTGATTGAAATTCAGTTGTGTGCTACCGGTGAGGAAAATGTATATTTATTATTAATAGATAGATAGATAGATAGATAGATATGTGGAAACCCGTTAAAGAATTGTAGAAAATACAATAGATTTAAGTACTGTCACTAGAGGCTCATTGTTTGTACAAAGCTGGCTCACACAGGAGTTGACTCATTTTCTGTATTTTGTAGGCTCTAGATTTGAATTTCTGTATTCATATTTATTAACCATTCAGCGATATTATTACAAACGCGGGCCTTTGAATTTTTACAATTAATATTTGTTGTCTGCTTCAAAATTTTGAAGGCTCACTCCAGAAAATGATTAACAATATTTTCCCTCCTTAAACTAGATATCTAAAAATTGGGAACATATTTATTAACCAATAAACTTATGAGTTTAATAAAATCTAATTTTTAATCCTTTCGGAGACGATTTCTCGGTTATAAAATTATTAGTTCGCAAAAATTAGTTTTTTAGTTATTCCATAAACCTTTGACCAGGGTTGTACGTTCATTGTTATACAAGCTGAAATTCTCAAACTTTAATTTCATTGATCACATTTTCGCATATTTATTCGAGTATACTATGTTGCAAAAACGGCTTAGTGATGTTGAGTTACGAAACAAAAAACATACTAACTGAATTATTGTCAACACAGATTTTAGCAGTAGTATTAATGCATCGACATTAGCTGATAGCTTGCTACCTATCGGTTCCAACTGCTAAGAAATTTGACGCATACATAAAACTACGTAAATACGTGACACACGCATTCTCACATGTAGACGCATTCTGTTTTTTTTTATATTAGTAAAGCAAATATTCTGTAGCGTGGTAAAAAAGAGAAAACAAATATTTTTGTGTGAAGTTGTTTCGTGAAGAATCTTTGTAATTCATTTCTTTCAATTTTAAAGAAAACTAATACTCAACAATAATAATTTATTTAAATTTGTAGAGGTGTATTGAAGATTTTATTTCTTTGTTTATCACACACATAAACCGCTACAAATTATTGGAACGACAAGACCAATTTCTCTCTTTTTGTTGTTCACTGAAGATATTTGGGCTTAAGATGAAAAGATAAATATGAGACAAGAGTTCAGAATTTCAGCTTTTATTTCTTGGTATTTACGTTTAGATGTGTTAAACAACTTAGGACATACCACCATTTGTAACAAATCACCTAATATTAGGTGAGAAAAAGTAAAGGAACAGATAGTCTGAAAGTAAATAATATTTAATATTTGGTTGCATAATACATGCTAACAATAACTGCATTAAGTCTGCGACGCATTGATGTCACCAAACTGTTGCATTCTTCATTTGTGATGCTTTTCTAGACTTTTGCATTGCCACTTTCACTTCTTGTTTGTTTCGAGTGTTTCTTTCTTGTGTCTCCTCTTCAAGAGATGAAATGCATGCTCTATTGTATTATGGTCTCAAACTGTTGGGTTACCGTCTACAACTGTCCACTACCCCTACCCCCGATGAAGTCTTTAGTTGTGCTGGCAGTATGTTTTGGGTTATTGTCCTAATACATGATAAACTTCCATCCGATTGGTTTGAATGCATTTTTCTGTAAACTGGTAAACAAAATGTTTCTATAGACTTCTGAATTCATTCTGCTGCTAATATCATGAGAGAAAACATCAATGAGCCTGTTCCGGAAGCACAACCATGCAAACCAAAGCCAAGACACTACCCCCAACATGTTTTCACAGATGAGCTTGTATGCTTTGGATCATACGTGGATCCTTTCTTTCTCCACACTTTGTCCTTTCCATCACTTTGGTAGAGATTAATCTTCGTCTCATCAGCCCATAAATCATTCTTCCAGAACTTTTATCGTTCATCTCTGTACTTCTTTGTAAATTCCAATCTGGCCCTCACATATTTACTGGTGATGAGTGGTTTGCATTTTGTGGTATGGACTTTATATTTCTGGTCTCAAAGTCTTGTTTGAACGGTGGATTGTGAAACCTTCACCCCTGTACCCTGGAGGTTGTTGGCTATGTCACTGACCTTTGTTTGGAGTTTTTCCTCACAGCCCTAACAATGTTTCTCTCATCAACTGCTGTTATTTTCCTTGGATGACTTGTTCTATGTCTGTTGTTCAGTACATCAGTAGTTTCTTTCTTTTCCAAATTGTTGTGTTGGCTATACCCAATATTTGCCCAATTTCTCTCTCTCTCTCTCTCTCTCTCTCTCTCTCTCTCTCTCTCTCTTCTTCCTGTTGGATTATCCTTTTTAACAAGAAATGCTGTTTTTACAAGTGAAATGCTGAAAGCAACAGTAGTCATTCAGAGCAAATTAATGTTTAAATAATAAATCTAAAAGGCAACAAGAAACAATTGTCAGTCACGTGTTTCAATAGTTTTGCTCACTTGAAAAACGGGTAGGTTCAAACAAAAGGTGGTGTGTTCTAAGTTGTTTAACACATCTAAATGTAAATACTATGCAATAAAAACCTGAAATTCTGAACTCTTGTCTCATATTCATCGTTTGGTCTTAAACCCAAACGTCTTTAGTGAACAATAAAAACAAAGGAATTAGACTTGCTGTCCCAATACTTTTAGAAAGGACTGTAGATCTCAATTTATAAAACTATCACCACGCAGTGCTAATGTTTTCCTTTCCTTTTTTTTGTCCACACGGTTAATATTTACCAATACTCTATCCTCATATAGAGCACACTTCCACCATAAATATAGCAACCTTTAAGAAATATACTTATATATCTCATGATAGGGATGAAACGCGTTGTTAAATTGAAACTTTTTGTTTGGCTTTTATATATATTGTCTGTACAGACATCATTTATTTATATCTGAATGTTTACACATACTTATATATCTGTATGTATGATTATCCACTTTTTTATCGTGCCGCTCCTTTTATTCTTTTTTAATGTTTCAATTTCAATTCACCTCTCAGGTTTCTAAGAAAAAAATTATTTGATAAAAACCTCACGGTCTTTTTTAAGTGGAAACGCCCAGTATTTGAAATTACATGAGAAAAGCCTGAATGTAATATAATCGGTTGCTTTTACAAATCAGTGGTTATCAAGTTACATATATAAAATATATTATTCCACCATTTTTTATGATAAATAAATTCTTATTTGCACTGATTGAGCTCATTCACCAGTACTAACTAGTGGCATTCATTGAAGGCCAAGTGACAGCAAGTCTTTCAATACGTCATTCTTCCCCTCAAAATTTTAGTTGATTATAGTCATAGTTTATTTCCTGGATGTCCAATTGTTACAACCTCTTCGAAAATACACTTTAGTACTGCTCCAAGTACATTGATAATGATAGAGACAGCTTTTACCTGTATATTCCAGGATTTTTTTCTTTGCTAACGTTCAACTATTTTACAGCTTTCAGTTTAACTCTATAGTTTGCTGGAACAATGCCATCTGCAATATAACAAGTGTTTCATTTTTTTTTTTTTTTTTTTTGCTTAGGATCTGATGTGATGTCCTGGATTGGGTGATCCATTGGAATTTCACGATGCCAGATAACTTTATGTTTTTATTTTCTAAAATACTCTACTTTTGTGCTATTGCTCCTCCTAACGATCGGAACCTCGACAGATCTT